AAAGTAGATACCATACATTCTTCCTTTTTTGAGAAATTCCAAATTTTTAGAAATTTTAATGAGACTTTTTTTGTCTTTCAAAATCTGTGAAAACGTGTACATCTTCTATATAAAAGAAAATGCTAACATTTAGCCTACTTAATAACTGAATAATTTAAGAAGTGGCAGTTGAGGCAAAACCATTTATGCTTTCTGAGATCACTATACTGGCCTTGACTCTTGGAAGCACTGGTATGTGACCACTCTAACTCGGCTTGCCTCAGGAAGTGACACAAATCTCTCCTCCAAGGTACTGTACTTTTCACTGTGGATTCACTGAATAAAAATAGGCCTGTACATATCAAAAGGATTATACTACATTTGATCGTTCTTAACTCTCCAGTGTTTAAATGTTGATTCCAACTGCCATTCCAAATTTTCTTTTTCAGGTACAGTCTGTCTTTACTATATCAATAACCTGTCTACTTAACTTGGATTCTCAATACATGTCAATTTTAACGTTGTTTTATGCTTTGTACAACATCATAAAAGCAATATGATGGATACAGTGTTTCTATATAACATGCTCACACAACTTAATTGTCTACCTGTCATTTTCATTGGTTTACAATTGCTACGTATCAAGCAGTTCTGGCAGTTATTTTTCTCATTGAATGCTGATAAACACTGTCGCTTAAATCTGTGTTGTGCCTTTTATACAACAATAGCAGAGATCATGGAAATTAATATTTTAATAGGTTTACATGCAGTATTTAATTAAAACAATACAGGAAAGCATTATTTTATTTTACGGCAACATATGCAATTTTTAAGACAAATGTAAAAATGTATGTAAGCCATTACGATAATCTACTATCATAAATATGTAATCATTGGCATGTGTTTAATAATAAGAATTCTTTGCATTTGATTTTTTGTTCTTCATCCTATAAAATTCAAAACTAATTTACATATAGGAGAGAACCCTCTTAAACCAGTACTAAAGTGTAACCTCCACACTCTAAACACCTTTTTTCATATAACAATATTGTTTTTCTAGAACAAGGTAAAATCAATTCACATAATCCAATTACTGATAAAACAAAATGCTTTAAATTTACTTAAATTGCAAAAGCAGTAAGGAATAGGACGTAATAGTCCTTGGAAGTCTTAAAAAAGTAATGAAAGCACTGGGCACATGACGTTCCTGGTACACAAAGAATATCCTTTACATACATATTTGGAAGGATAAGATCATTCCAAATACAGTATGTATGTCTACCGCATATAAAGTATATACTGTAAATGTTAAATTTTAAAACATATCATAAAAAGAACACCATTGTCATTAAAAAAATGAAATATGTGTTTACCTTCACTATATAATGTAAAGAGATACAAGGACAATTGAGGACAAATTATATCTACAAAACAATTCTAACTATTCTATCTCAAATACATAATAACTAGACTTTTGGAAATTATTTCAATAATAAATATTTATATTTGAAATATTATATACTAGGCTCCAGCCCCCCCATGACCCTGTAATGGATAAAGCAGTTAAGAAATGAATGGATACTATATGCTATATGCTATATACTATATACTATACACTATACACTATACACTATACGCTATACGCTATACGCTATACACTATATACTATATACTATATACTATATACTATATACTACATACAATACAGTACACAAAAAAGATAATGAAAGAATATTCAGCAAACCTTTCACGCTATCTATAATAATATATTTCTCTATTATTGATTGAATTTCATGTGAAGAGAACTATGGACCAATTTATTTAATACACTGTGTCAACTATTTACACTGTTCAGTGTTTACCTACTGAGAGAAAGCTTCAGCCATTGTCACATTAGCCATCCAACTACTCATTCATTTTCTAACCACTTTATCTAACTCGCGGCCGCAGGGAGCCCAAGCCTATACTAGCAAGTGACGGGCTCAAGTCAGGATACACCCTGGATGGGACACCAGTCCATCACAGGGCAACAGACACAAACACAGACATGCACACACTCTCACTAGAGGCAATTAACCAAACAGAAAGTTGGTCTGGGAGGACTGTGGAAGAAGCCCACATGAACACAGGGAGAGAATACAAACTCCACGCAGACAGTATCGCAGGAACTGAACCCAGGATCCCAGCGCTGTGAGGCAGCAATGCTAACCACAGCACCACCTATTATAACACTATGTTTCTTATAATACTTAATTTCAATGCTAAAATAATAAAATTACTATATAAATATATGCGTGTATATGAGCTACTATAGGCAGCTACCCCCATATATTTACAAAAGTAAATCTCAGGCTGTTGGATATTTTAGTTTGTTAATGCAGCACATTTATCTATATACTGTATATAGGGGGGAAAAGAACCTCTAATAACATATAGGTGCAAACTTAGAAGGTAAGAAATACTAAATGTAATACTGTACAACAGTGTTGAAAAAATACATGTAATCTGCTACTGCTGTCAAGAAAAACACTGTAGGAGGCTCTGAAGTAAGCCATCACCTAAAGGCCGTTTAAACGCCCAAACATTAAGAAGAAAGTTTATCTGAAAAGCTTATTAAGATACAATTGTAGCACAGCTTAGTGTGACTGGGTTTGTAAACTAATGATTTTTTTAATTATACCAAACTTCTAATAAACCTAAGAACCAGAGTAATCACAAAAAAGCTGTGCTTTGCTTGCTTACATACAGTAAATCCACACCAAAATCTTAAAACCTTTATGTTTGTTTAAGGATTCACTAAATTATTCACACAAGTGTTTAGTTTACGTATTCAATTTGTGCGGTGTAGCCTACTTAACTTTTAAAAACCATTATGACAAATCTGAAATCTTGCTTGCAAGTTTATTTTTTGCAGTCCGAAGTCGTTTTTCTGATAGAAATTATTCTGTTGCTGTCGTGTCACATTAACTAGATTTTACTTCAATAGAGACTACATTTGTTTAAATATTCATTTGTATACTTTTGCATACTTACCAATGTATTTCTACATCAGAAGTGATCAAACTAACCTAGGTACAGTACATGTTTCTCAGTGTAATCTTATATTCGTATTTTGTTTTCGTTACGTCTCAACAATGTTCCAGTGATACAAAACAAAATTAAATAATAATCTCTTGAAATAACAGCATGCGTAAAAACGCACAAACAGAAATATCACAAGTATTGGCATATATTGTTATTGTTTGACATTTAGTCAAACAGAGACGTTATAAGGCAAACAAGACAAGTGATACATTATACAACAGTAAAACAGTAAACTTGCTTAACTGTTTCAAATTTAAAGAAATACAGTGGTAGTTCATAGTTGTTGACTAACATAGTCTTTGTTTCCTAATATAAAATTTAAAGAGGTAAAATTTCAATATTAGAGATATGTTTCTAGATATATTTTGTTTGTGTATTCTGCAATACAAAAATCTGTTGTAGTACGTTTAAAAATCATAAATAGTTCATGGCTGACATATTAAACTTGCGCAGCGGGTTTAACATTCTGAGCATCTAAATATGTAACAAGATTTCTTCCGAAGAGTTTTGAGATTCAAAGATTTCAGAAACTACCTCTTCAGTTTAAAAAGGAAGGTTTTTCACCTTGTAAAATTACTATTGCTCACTTCAGCAAAGACGTCATTTTTTATATTTATAACTCGATACAATGTATTTACTTTATTTTTGTTATTTACTCATAGGTCTTCCGCTCTTAAATTTCAAATTATTTATGAATGTATTTTCAGGCACTCCATTACTGATATGCAGGCCAACATGAAATTTAGAATTAAATAATCAACTCGGCAGATCTTCAAAAAAAGCGCAAGTCTTTAGTTGACAAGTTAGGTGACATGGGCTTCATTCATACCTATTTAGAGGTTACTCTATATTTGGACTCTTACAGTATATTGTTGCAATAAATACGTTACAGGTAGGCTTTCTTGGTGAGATATCTGTTTAGGTGGATAAACACGTGAAACCCCCAGGGTAAAAGGTGTTTGTCAATATTAATTTAAAACTGAGATGTCGCAAACATTCTCTTTAGAATAAGATACCTACACACCTCTACCTCAGATTCACAGGGCATAAACTATCTTTAAAAACGACAAACGGATAAGAATAATGTTTTAGTCAACAGACAGTTGAAACTGTCACAAGAGTTGGGATATATTTCAGGAGCAGACAACAATACTATATTTTATCAAAGACAGGGAGCACAATTACTAGTACGACCTGTACAAAGATGTTAAGTGAGAATCCATTTATGATATCCACAAATAATATATATATATGTGTTTTAGGTTATCCCAAAATACAACCCTGTTGAACATGTGAAGGCTCACAACGCGCGACTGCAAAGGTGTGAAGTGGTTAAACTAGTGCTAAATAGTGGACAGCTTTGTGGATAAAAGTTACGTTAAGTGTTTGTAAATCGAATAACAAAGGTAACGCTGTTTGTTTAAATCAAAACTGACAGAATAGCCCCTCTTTGCTTTTTTGAGAAGTAAACGCTCTGATGTTTTAATTTTATTTTATTGCGAGCCGACTGAGGCACCCAGATCACATGGTCGAATAAGCAATAGGAAAAACAGAAATATAGAAGATAGAAAGTATCTTTGTTTAAATCCTTTATGAAAAAAGCCGCAGTTATTTCCAAACACACGTCTGAAGACAGCAAGCCTTCAGAACTTTCAAGTTTTTCTTCGTTATCACTAATTTGTTTCGTTATTTCATTTAGTGTTTCGATTTATAAGGAACGCTAAATTTCTTAGTCGTTGTTAAGACAAAAAAAAGACAAAAACAAAAATCACTATTCTTTGATCAATGAAATGTCTCACTTCTAGACCGGCAAAAACATTTTAATAGCAGCACGTCACTAACTGAGCATGCATAAGCATGGCATGCATATAGCTGACTTAATAGAACACCACGAAAATAAACATTAAAACCCAACATTAATCACTTTTATTGCATACCTGCTGCCCCGCTCCTTTAGTGCACCTCTCAACCTCCTTTGGGTTACAAAAAGACCATTCTTAATCCCTTTCCATTCTTAAAACCCATGCAGTCTTCCAAATCTTCCCATCCAGATGTAAAATTAGCAGAATCCAGATGTTTCAAAGCCCAGAACTAAAGAGGTTTTAGTTCAATCCACAAAGCTATATCCAGGCTTGGAACTAATTAGTTAACAGAAGAAAAGAAACTCTCTAGGCTAAGTGCCACCTCAGTCGCTCCCAATTCTTCTTATCAAGAGCTTCTGTTGTGCGTTCTACCTGATGAAAAGGATTCCTAGAGCGATTAACTAGTTCATTATACCTTATACCTTCCCGTCTTTTCTTTTTACTACGTTCATCCCCAGGTAAATGCAATTGCGCCAGTATGCGTCAGCTCCAAACCGTAAGCAAATGAGAAAGGAAGATGAAAAATGAAAAAAATAAAAACGTGAAAAAATGTAATCTTTCACGGAACAGCAGCCTATGTTTGGTGACGCGTAAAAGTGACATATGTAAACAGATTTAGTCAAGATCCTCTCCTGCTGATAAAGATAGACCTTACACTTCGGTGTTTGACAGGAGACTAAGCCTTTCACTTCTCATGCACATGGACGTATTGCAGCTTCCCGCGTCTGACAGCACACTGTTTATGTGCGCTCCTACCCAATCAATAGATAATATTGTACAGCTACACCACTGTTGTTAGACCTTCTAATATTCTGTCAGGTGTATCTTAAATACAAACATCTAAGCTCATGATTTGAATACACATTACTTTAAATGCTGTAGAAAGCTGGAGCACATACAATTCAGTTTTACTGAATACGAGTTAATATAATATGTTAGGAAAGTTAAAAGGGGCATCTCTACAGCATCACATATTCATGAACCCAATTCATTGCAATTGGAAGCTCCAATTCAACCAGTAATCTTACACACTGAGATGCAGCAACTGAGTGAAACTCCATAGCGATTTCTGCGCTAATCTTGCAGTGATTTGAGTTTTGATAAAGCTTCAAAGGGACGGTAAACGCCCTAGCTATAATTAAAAAAAAAGAGGTACAGTACCATAGTGTCACGTCACTACATGATTCTGTCAGATTCGCACAAAGTAGTGCTAGATCCACTGCAAATAGATTCAATTAAAATATTTTAAACAATCGTCCGCATACAATTAAAAGCTTAATAACATTAAGACTTCCTAAATGCTGGACATAATTTAAAATGTTTCTGACTTCATACATACTCAGTGGACTTGTATTTTTTTCATACCTAGTACCAACATTTTTTTGCAATTTCATTTTAAATATAGGATTGTAAACCAGTATTGGTTTCTTGTCACGCCAGTGCACAATACACCAGTGTCAGTATCCAAGAGTGTGAAATAGATCCTTGGAGAACTTGAGAATAGGCTCACAATCAAACCTTGTACAATGTCGCCACCATGAGTGTCATCAAGGAACAGCATCTACTGTATGTGCTGTAGTTTTTTGTTTCGCTCAATAGTCTTAAAATCACTTTATCTTATTGTATTTAGATTTAAAATGTTATAGATTAAGGTCAGAATTAATTTTAATCTTATTTTAATAATTTTAACAGTTTAATTAAGCATGCAAGTTCAAAACTGCATTAGGGTAGTAAAGTTACATGACTGTTGAATTTAATTAACTATATTGCTTAACCTTGTTATACTTTCCTTTAACTTAATTTGGGGCTATCATAGTTTAGAAATGTTCTCAGTGTACAGCTTCTCATTAAAGATTTTTGGAAATGATTGATAACTTAATGAGGTCTGTTCAACATAGATTTTTGCCACTTCAACAGCTCAGTGATTTCTCAGACGTTAGTGAGCTCCATTGAGACCTAAGTTAACGTTTTTTTTCTTTGACATAAGACATTTCAGAACTCTAGCAATACAAAGTGGAGTTTAAGATGCTATTTCCTCTTGTTTCACTCTTTCATCACCTGTATCAGGAGGTCAACCTCCATACACCTGTACGTACACCACTGACCATAACTACAACCATAATTCAAGTGAAAAAATAAACCCCAATTTATCTTTGGTGTTATAAGAAGGTAAGAATGGTGTTATAATAGAATACACATCTTTCACGGCAAGCCCCCTACAGAACTGTAGCATAAAGAAAAGTATTTTTATTAATAAAAATGTTTGTTATTAAATGCATGTTATAATTACTACAGATTAAATAAAAAGGTACCAAAATGAATTCCCTGAGGCAGGCAAAAAGAATACATTTGAGAAGACTATCCACACTGTAATGCTAATCTCAGGGGACACTCAGAGTGTGGCTTGGGGAATAAATGAAGATTGCTTTGGTAAGAAATAACATTGTTATATACTGCCTTATATTTCATTACTGAAATTGTAAGAATAAATTCTAAATTTATAGGGAGGATCAAAGAAAATGAGTTATAGTTTTGTCAAGGCAAGAGGAGTGCAATTTTGAATAAATGACAGTTGACTGTAAATTGTAAATGTACTATATTAAAATACCAGTGAGACTTTTTTTGAATAATTACATCCAGAAGAAACAAAGGCACATACTGTTTTTTCAATTAAAAATTCCCTGGTTAAAATATCACCCCAACTATATTACAACTGATTACAAGCACACACACACAAAAAACATACCGTATACACAGTAAGATATTATAGCATAACATTTGAGATTAAATCATGATTTTATATTTGATAAAATGGATTCAACAAGTGTAATGCATATTAACATAAATGAGACTCATCTAAATGACCCAAAATCAGGTAGTTTCTGCACATTTACATGGTTATTAATTCTTGTAAATTAAATTAAGTGTTTTTTGGTTTGAGTTTTTTTTTTTTATGGATTCCACTGTAGAATTAATCAAATTAAAAACCTCTTCTTACATACGGTACAGTAGTGCACAAAGGCATTAATGTACAGTGCTTTTCTTAATGTAGGGATAAGTAAACTATACTTATAACTGTTAAATCATTAATATTCTTTTACTAGTGGAATATATCATATTGTTACATACATGTATAATGACATTATTATTTTGCTTACCATAAAAATGAAAAGTTGTGAGCAGTTGTCATCACGTCTGTTGGGTTTGTAAAGATAAACTTGAAAACCTGTGAAGGAATACTTTTTAATTCAATGTATATAAATTGTAAATGTATAAATTAAATGTATACATTTATAAATTAAATTAAATATTAAATGTATTTAATGTAATATTAAATGTATATAGCTCATAAACAATGAGCTATATACATTTTATTACACTGTTCTATGAACATACTCAATTAGCATTTAAAATTGAAAAAGTTCCACATATACCATGTGCTATTTCCACAGAGGCATGAGAAATGCATGTGTGTTATAAAAAAAGAGATGGGAAACTCCCAATAACCAAGTTAGTGACTGACATGTCAGGATCCCCCATGTGCTTTTCACAGGTTTCAAGTGGGCCTGAGTGGGAGGGATATACTGTATGCCAGGCTAGGCATTCTCTTATCTAATTGTAACTCTGAACAAGACAACTATGTATAGTTAAAATATAGAGAACACATGTACTTGACAATATGATCTCAAGTGCTTGTTAATTTTTAAAAAATATATTTATTTATTACAAGAGGAGTAGAGGAAAGACTTTAATAAAATTGAACGAGAGAAAACCTCCATAGATGTAATAAACAGAATACAGTAGAGATCACACATCGCAATGTGTAAATCATTTCTGAGTTAAAAAAAATGCACCCACACCCTGTATATTCCTCAAACCAAATTTACCTTTGAATGAATATCCACCCATATCAACCGTACTTACCAAATTCTGAAGTCTGGGTTGCGATCTGGAGATCATTAAGATGAATAACATATAGACTGCTGAATGGATTGTTATTGCTCTTTTAGAACAGAAATGTCTAACAAAAATCTAAAAAAATATATACTATATATATGGTATAAAAAAGACTACGTTTTCGGTGTTTATTTGTAAATAAACATGATCCCTCTAAACGTATCATAAGCCAATTTTTCCTGATTAAAAACAATAAAACGCTAATTACAAAAGAAGGCAAGCTGCCTTTGATATCTCATCACAGCTGTTGATCATTCTGCCTCATCAAACCCTCTAGCAGAGTTTAAAGGTAATGCTGATCACTATGCCCAGAGCCCATTTTGCTTGCATTCCAGTCATGCAGAGTCATTTAGCCTAAAGTGGGTTTTTTATAGTTTAGGTTTTATTTTCAATAGCAGTAAAGCAAGACGTCCAGACATTCTTTTCAACAAAAAGGAGACATACAGTAGGTAATTTACAATAATCTCAAGTACAATCTTTAAAATCTTTAGAGTTCATAACAAAGAGCCCAAACTCATAGGCCAATGAATATTTTTCATTAATTTGGGACCTAATGAAGATTCAGTGACTGCTTTCACTGTAGAGAGGCAAGCAAATGAAAATAAACACCGGAAACAAAAATACCCTGTGTATATATATACAATATTCACAGTGTATTTATATAAGAAATCTCTTATTATCTTTAGTTGACTGCAGAAAGTGCAGTTTCAGTTATTTCCAAGTTCATGTAAGCCAAAACATATTTTCTATAGCTATGGATTCTTCTAGTTTTGTTGATCAGGGTAGATAAAATCACACTGAAATCTAACAATGTACCCTAAATCATATAATACAAATACTTTGCAAATGGTTTCTACATTTACTGATCTACGACCAGTCTACCCAAAAATATCACATCATGTGTGTTGACATCATACACTTCTGTAGTTGCCTCCACTAAATCTGTGCAATCCACTAGCCAGGTTTTTATTTAGGTTATAGTGTGGACCTGAGTTAGTATTTAGGCTGCCAAGTAACAAAAATGAAGTTAATTCCACGCTGAAAAGTAGAAAGAAATAAATCAGTTCTAGCAGCTGAGCTCAGGTGACTTCTGACAAATTCTTAACAGCTATTTTTTTATTTAGTTGTCCTTCTAATTTGGTTATTATATTTGTATTTTTACACCATTGTATCATCATTGTATATGTAAATGTAAAAGCAACTTTTCTCAATGGTAGCCCAATTCTAAGAGGCAAATGGAAAATTCTTCTGAATAGTGCATTTTGTTCATCAATACCAGGTGATGCCTTTGTTTCATGGTTTACAAAACCCTTTAACACACCCTGTTACAATTAGATCATTACAATTTTTATTTTAACGTGGGATATGTTTTTATATTATATACTTTCGTCAAGTGTGAACACCTGTGTAAAGAAATCAGTTAGAACACTTGTATATGTACTTCCCTGCTCATCTTACATTATGTAATTACTTAGATTATTTTTCTTTTAACAATGTTTTGTCATTGCAATATTGAAAAATAATTCTAGGCTTTAGTAACTGCACCACTCTTACCAATACTTCTAATACCTTTCTTGAGTTTGTTCTCAGTGTAAACTGTGTATTTTGGTTCCATCCTACATATAACATTTAATTTAACTTATTTCTACAAGCTTTTTTCTTTATTTATACTTTCGACCATTTAGAGGTTCTTGACTATAATTTACATCTGGTAAGAATTGTATCTGTGCCTCTAGAAGTATTTTTTAGAATGTAACCATGCATTCTCTGTCAATTCTTGATCTGTCTTTGAATATCAGAAGGCACCACTGTGTGATCACAATTGCCCAGTGGCTCTCTTATTTCAATTCTTTTCTGTCTTGGACTTGATCATTTGAACATATCAATACAAGTAATCCTTTTTTTTATGAAAAATGAGTAAGAAAGCAATCATTTATTATTTAAATTTAAGCATTTATACTGCCAAATTGGCATCACCCAATGGTACTGTATATACAGTATAAGACAAATAGTGCTATTTTTCCTTGGTATATGCAGATCTAACATATACTGTACCAAGCATCTGACCAATTACCCTGGGTGAATATAATCTTACCACCTTTCCTAAAGTGATGAACCCCAAATTTACAACAAAAACATTTTAAAAGATAATTTTAACACAAGAACATATATACAGGAACTGTATATAAGCTTACAGACAGTACAGCAGAAAATAAATGTTTAGAATGTTTGGTTTGATTCCCTTCAAACTAATTAGATACAGCAAGATCCAGCAAATAATCCATTTATGTATTTATTTCTTTTTCCTTATGGCTTGTGCTGCAACAGTGGGGAAATTTTAGGTGAACCGTTTCACAAAGGGCTAAGCTTTCTTTAGCTTAGATCTGAAGTTTCATTACACCCTGTTTAAAGGCAGATAATCCATTCTACAATCCTAACATACAAAGAAATGTAATGTATAACGTTACAGAAGAAACAAATCATGAAGGAAACAATTTGAAAAATGAAGATGATATAGACTCATTGACACTAAGCATGGTGACAAACATCTAAATCTTCAACTTCCATAGTTTAAAGATGTTCCTATACATTTTTGTTCCCCCTAAGTAAAGACAAGCATCTCCCATATGAACCTTTTTTGGAAAATTGCTACTTACATTAAATGGAAAGATATTAATTTACAAAATGAATGAAAAAGCAAAACTTAAAAAAGATCCAATGTTTGTCATTATTGCACCTAAAAAAGTTCTTATTCTAAATTTATAAAATCCCTCATGTTTTGCACTGAATGGCAAAAACACCCTAAATTAAGCATATTTTAAAAATCCCAACACCAAAATTTTGAGCTAATTGATTTCCATAAACTGTGCTTAATTGCTATTATAATGGCACAGCAGGAATTGCGGTTTTTAATTTAAAAGGATGAATCACTGACATTTCCATCGAATTCTAAGTAAATGCCAGAATACTATCAGTAGATCTTGCGTTTTTTCTTCAGTTTGAGGCTAAGTTGCAAAATGTTTTTCGGCTATGTGTCACACATTAATAAAGCAGGTAGCTTGTGCTTTCCAGAGGTCCCGGTCTTCAAGAATGTTTCTTTTTAAAATCCCTCTTGAGAAAATTTTGATTGTCTTATCACATCTTTTAAAGAGCTCAGCACTCTTCCTTTACATACATTTGGTCATCTAAATCTGACTCAAGGTGCTCAAGCCTGTCGGTTTGTCCACTCATGATTTCATCTGGGGTTTTCATGAACCTGAAATACAAAAGACAGAAAAAGACTTTCAGCATGTTTCACAGGAATGTTGACTTATTTGCTCTTATAGCATTGCTTCACCGTCATAGTAAAGACCTTCTTCTTCAAAACTTGGTACTTGAAATTTCTGTGATACTTGCATCTCCTATATAGGATTAAGACCAAAGACATACAGTATAATGCATGATATTGCTCTGCCTACAGAACTGTGATTGGACAGTGAAGTTATTAACCCCCAATGCATTCTACTTCAGTGCTATTCATTTTTTCTACCCTAACTTAAAACTTAAATTCTAAAGGACAGAGATATACAGTATCTGTCTTAGCAATAGAGTCGGACAATACTATTTTTCCTAGTGATTTGATTCACTTGATTCAGTTCAGTTAAATTTATTGGCAGTTCAGGTGAATTGATTCAAAAGATTAACTAATTCTGTTCATGTGATTCAGTGATTCACTTAAACAAAACAGTACTACTGGACCAGGCAGTCAGTAAATGACTCAAATGCGTTTGGTTCACTGAATGACAGAGTGCCACTGAATACCATATTTAGAGACAAAATTACTGAAACAAGGATAACTCGTTTATGAAACTTAATGTAAAAAAGATAATGTAAAATTAATAGTATTGGTAGTTTTCCTTCTTCCACATGGAAAGATACACATTTTGAGAAACAAGATTACATTTTTAATATAGAGGAAATATCATATATTGACAGTTTAGAGTATTTAGATAGGAAAGAGTATTTAGCCTATTTGTCACGTATATATTATAATAATTGCTTAGACTTATATAGCGCTTTTCTGGACACTCCACTCAAAGCACTTTACAGGTAACGGGGACTTCCTTCCACCACCACCAATGTGCAGCATCCACCTGGATGATGCGACGGCAGCCATAGTGTGCCAGAACGCTCAACACACATCAGCTATCAGTGGAGAGGAGAGCAGAGTAATGAAGCCAATTCATAGATGGGGATTATTAAGAGGCCATGATTGATAAGGGCCAGGATGCCGGGGTTACACCCCTACTCTTTTTTAGAAACGCCCTGGGATTTTTAATGACCACAGAGAGTCAGGACCTAGGTTTTACGTCTCATCCGAAGGAAGGCGCCTGTTTACAGTATAGTGTCCCCGTCACTATACTAAGGCATTAGGACCCACGTGGACCACAGGGTGAGCGCCCCCTGCTGGCCCCTCTAACACCTCTTCCAGCAGCAACCTTAGTTTTTCCCAGGAGGTCTCCCATCCAGGTACTAACCAGGCTCACACCTGTTTAGCTTCAGTGAGTTGCCTGTTGCTTTTATATTCTAAAAGGTGTAATATGAAGTTGAGGAGCATACATCCTGTAGCGCTGTGATTGAAAAATAATCTAATTCATATTTTAGAAACAACTAAAGGTTTGTTCCATGTTGAAAAGATAAGACAGGAAACACAATGTTCCGGCTGTGCAGCCTTCTTCAGGTGTCCATTCTGATCATTCAGAGACTTAGGAAGGTTGCTGTTATGTCTATTGCCCGTTTTTTTCAGTGTTTTTCTTTTTTCTTTCAATGAAGTAAAAAAAAAAAAGATCACGAAGCCTTTTGTCATTCTTTCATAAATACACACCAGAAGTTTGAAAAAAAGTGCAAACACTTTTTTTCCTCCATAAACACCATATACTGTATAGGCTTTCCAGCACTGCCAGAAGTCAACACAATAGAAAAAAAATATTCTTTATTTTTTATTATTATATTTTATTATTTCATGTTTTTGGAAGGCTGAGAAAATCATTCCAGGTCCTCTGTTCATAAAACTTCATGCAGATTTTTGATTAATAAAGTATTATCTATCTATCTAATCACTCTATTTCTTAGCCAAGTGATTAAACATATTAGAGAATAAATTTACATTCTAGGTATCACAACCTGAGAAATTGACTTTCAAAGAAACACAATAAAAAGTGTTTTTTTGTTTGTTTCCTGTTTCTGTTCTAGATATTTGATTATATTGTGTGTACTGAGCAAGGTTCAGACTGAATGTCCAAATGGTGTGTTTTAATCCAACACCGAACCAGCATGTTTGGTACAAACGACACAAGCAATGGACTACTGAGCTTTGAAAAAATGAGATATTGTCTTTACAAATGGATGAGTGCAAACGTAGCACCAAGCTAAAGAACTCAACAGCCCTGATTATCTGGTCCCAGTAGAGTTTAGGTGGTTCCATAATGTCTTGGGACAGATTTTGACATGGTTATAGAGTACTCATTTCCTTAGAAGGCAAGGACAATGCTAATCATTTCTTAACGTTACATATCTCACATCCCTCCTGTAAATTTCCAGATGCTGGTAGAGTCAATGCCACAGCACATACAGTTCATATTGGCCATACGGAGAGTGCAAATGTCCCATTGCCCAATATTTTACATTTGGTGTTTCCTTTTCTTGACGAATGCCTATAAATACACACATTGAAACATTTGTATTTTCTCTGTCTTCTGATTTGACAGTGAAAAATTATTTATGACCAATGTATTATGATTCCTGCACTTCTGCACAAAAAGTAAATCACTTTATTAATTGTATTTAATTCTATTAAATACAATTAAATTGTATTAAATACAATTCTATTAAATTGTAAAAAACGTCAGAGAAAAAATGCTCAATAAAAAACAACCTGAGAAAATGTCATATTCATCTCACCTGAATAATAGTCGTTGTCCGGGCTCCTTCCTAATGATGTTCAGTTTATAGTAGTGTCGCAGTGCTCTCGACATCTTCTCATAGGTCATATTGGTACGGTTCTTAGTTTAAAATAGAAAAAAAGACAGCTCAGGTTGTTGAAATATTGTACAGCTCTGATAAAATGTCCAATTCAACCTTGAAAACTTAATTGTAATTGTTGCCATGAATTTGTACAAAGAAAATCCTTTTTTGTAAGGAAGCATTTACAATAAAAGCTATTTTTGGAGCATTCAAGATTTTCTTAAATGCTCTCAACCAAAGATGTCAGTAATTTTAACTTAACTCACAAAATCTCATATATTTAAGTCAAGCAAAAAGAAGAAGAAAAAAATGAATTCTAAATAGAATGTGTACTGTAACCAAAGGCGAAGTGAGAAATCCCCCAGAATTTCACTCTTACACAGAAGAAGAAGTAAAAGAAATATGTAGCTATATACATGTAAAAGAAGTAAAGTGGGTGGGCATATATACATACTTTACAACTTTAACTACATTCTGTCAGGTGTAATTTCCATTTCTTTCAGCATGTACAGTAAGACTTACTGACATTCTGCATGTTAAATAACTTACAACCAAATAACATACTGTTACACAGCGTTCTAGCCTGTGAGGCAATAACAAAAAATGTGATCACCATATCAGAGAATATTACGTTTAGAGCTGCACAATATTCTATAAGCCATTTATTTTGCTTATTTAGGGCAATATATGTTTTAGTGCCTAATTATGTTATTAAGTTTAAAAGTTTTTTGATTAAAAAAGTGTTTTTTTTTTCATTGTAAGCAGAGATAGAATATGTGATGAATTTGCCTGGCTAATTACCTTATGATTCCCCCAAAGTCGAGCCAGACCATTGGGGTCTACTATTCGAAAAACCTTTGTTTCCTTATCTTCCCAACGAATGTAGTTTTCGTACCGGCTGTCAGAAAGAAGCTGATAAACATAATCCCACAGCAGCCTGCAATCTGTCAAGGTGAAATAGAAATGCCTGTGAATTCATGTACTGTTTCAGTAATAAAAGGGAAAATGTCTGTATTTTGGAAAATAACAATCAGAGCATTAGTATTATTGTAAGACAATAACTGTTATGCAATCTAAGTTATCCCAGTATTGGGAAAAAAGGAACATTTCAGAAAAGATTTTTAATTCAAATACAAAATCAGTTCATTCAAAAGGCTTTTCTTCCAAACCCTTATGTATATTTTCTCTGATAGACTTTTAATATAGGAAATAATGCTGAATATTTCTACTAAATAAAAACAACTTAAAACTGTAGCATGTAAGTGTAGCTAGGCCTCTGGACTCAAAGTCTGTGTGTCCAAATCCTGGATGGGACATTTCTGTAATATCCTTGAACAAACTTCTCCCAGACTGGTTCAGTAAAATTTCCAGTGTATAAATATTTACAAATGTAAATCACTTTGGGTAATGGCAAAACAAGTTAAAAAGAAACATTAAAAGAACATTAAAACAATAAAACATTCAAACATGGCTTTCAAATGTTTACTGTTTGTATTTCACCATCACTCAAACGTTTTTCCATAACTGGCAATACACATTTAATTTATTTAGGAAACCTGCTCTTACCAGCTATCCTGCCAATGGGGAGAGGCTTTTCCTCTGGTGGAGAGACTGGCATCATAATGTGGTTCCTGTATAGGAGGTCCTCTCTGTGAGTCAGGTTCATGGGCTTTCCCTCCCAGCCATTATCTGAAGACCGGGAATGCTTTAAGTCCAAAGTCTGCCTGGGATTAATAATCAGAGGATGCATTATGGCGCTTGGCACAAGCTGTATAACACGAGGGTTGTCTTGATATGGGCTGCCTGAGCGCTGTCCTTCAGTAGGGGTGGGACAGTGGCTGTTGTTCTGTTCTGGGGAGACGGACAGTTGATAAGGCTCCTCCAATGATGCAGTGTGATTGTTTTCTTGCGGCTGGGAAGCAGGACGCAGCCTGTCCTCGGGCGACAGGTGTCGAGATGCATTATCGAGAGGGGACCTCTGGGAATCTGGCGAAAGGTCTTGGTTGTTCAGGCGAGGGGAGCGAGGACGATGCCGGAGTTCAATAGTAGGGGGATTGTGATGGAGGCCCTCTGTACCTCGAGGAGTTCGCCGTACCGTTTCTATAGGAAAAGTGAGAAAATATTAGAATTATACAAATGGCTTAGGAACATAAAACATACCAATTGAAAGCAAGCCATTTAAATAATCTTGCCTTTCTAGCATCTTCGCAGTCAAGTAAAGGCCTAAATGTGTATCCAACTGTTACCTGAAGGAGCCCACAGTTTTGGGTTTCAACTACCTGGGGGAAAATCCACAACTATGTGTGTAAAGAAATGTTTTCTATATTTACCTCCCTTTTTTTCAGTTATCAAGAATCCTTTGTACCACTGCTAAGCCTAGAATTGATTCCACTGATGCTATTTTTCCAATAAATTACTTTAAAAGGCGGCCATACTTTACAATTTTGTTCTTGCAGTATATATGATTAATATTTAGACATACTATAAAATAATTTTAAGAATTTCAGACTTTTCTATAACAAATTATTATCATACATTAGACATGACTTCCTATATATCCGCATAGAGGAAATCGTTTTGTAATAGTAGTTGAAAAAAATGTTTCTGAAATACAGATTGCCTGATGCTTAAAGGAAAAAGTTTGTTATGTGGAAAAACATCCCATTATCTACGTCTTTGTCCCATATACTTTTTAAAGTATTACCTCTTAAATGTTAAGTAAATGTAAAAACAACTGATGAAAAGATGTACTGTAAGACCTCTCAGACATTTCAGAGAGTCCATATCTTCTGCTGGTTATATATTAGTACAGTTCAGATCTCTCAAGTAAGAAGTGCGTAGGACATTTACTGCTATGATATAAAACATGATAGCTTAAACTATTTTCTTTACTGCAAATATACGTTATATATTGTGCTCTTGTATAAATTCACCATTTTATCCACATATATTCTCCCAATACTCAACATAAGAGTAAAAACATGCAAAATAAAGTACAGAATTGTTTTTTTCTTAAGATAAAAGAGGCTCAGAACTAAGCTGGAGAGTTTTGGTGATTTCCAGGTGTGGCTTTTAGTATGTGAATAATCTTATATTTCATTTGCACAGGAAAGGGAAAATGAGACATAAAATCAATGCATATCTTTGTACAGTTAGTGGACAAAAAAGGAAACACCTGAGTAAATACCAGTATATTGCAAGGGCTTTCACTCAGGTGTGACTCATGTTAATTAAGCATATAACATCACAGCACGCTTAGGATCATGTAAATAAATTCTGAAAAGCTCTTTCTTGCCTAGAATTAAGAATATAATGGTTGCAAAAGGAGACCTTGGAAGCTTTGAAAGAGATTTTTGACCTCTATTAAATTGGCTCATTGATTTTCTAAAAGAAGAATGCCACTGCATCCCTCCTGCAGAATTCCAGAGATAAACTCTACGCCATTGCACATACAGCCCTATTGGCTGCAGATGTTTACATAAGTGGTTTCATTTGTTTTGTCCACTATCTGTACAGCTCTTACCATAGATACTATTACACTGCTATGCATGTTCATACTGGAGAAGTCAGAAAAACATAAAATATTTCTTTATACTAAAATAAACTTCTAAATAAACTGATGTGGAATAACATGGGTGTGTTACCTTAAACTGTGTACAACAAAGTTTCACAGGATTGTCCTGCAAATCTTCATTTTACCAGAAGGTGGTAGGATTTTCAAAAAAATATAAAAATTCCAAAGGATCAGTCACTGAAAGTGGCCATCTCATTTGGTTTAACATGGTCCTTTTTACATCTTTACATCTATACTTTCAATCACACATTTTTTTTAACCGATAACATTTTGTAATTTTTGTTTCTGACAGCTCACAAACTGGTACTGAAGGAATCCATTCAGGGCAGTAAAGTTGGGATTTGAATGAAAAAACAAAGCTCTTGTAAGTAACTGTCTGACAACTACAGTACAATGCCCTAAAAGTGGTGAATTGCTGAGCATCATTTCTGTGTATATACTCAATAAAGAGATTAATATAAACAGGTTACTTAAACAGCCACCAACTCAATTTAAAGAAGGACATTTCAAAATCACATTTTTGTCTGCAAAATTCTGCTTACACACTTTTGATCCAACAATATATCTTGTATTTAAGTTGCAAGACTGACTTGTTTGACATAAAAGAAGGACGTGCCCTAGAAGAAAGTTACAAGTTAAAAATAGAAATAAAAATTTCTAAAAATAGAAATTTCAAAGCATATCTACATTTCAAAATGTATTTTAAAGCTGCCTTCTACAGAATGATGCAAATGATTGTTTCAACAGTAAAGATATACTGTATAGTATCCATTGTCACACTTTAATACAAAATTAATACTTAATACAAATGTGATTCATATTCCCAAGCAAATGGCTGAATTATATGCTATTTCCTGTACGTAATCTCTTGCCACTATCCCCTTTTCAGTTTTTGTGTTGTATGCTGAAGTAAATTATTTTTATTAATGGAAAATTCTGATGACGGCTTGTATATTTTTGCTATTTTAAGAGCTGTAGAAGGAGTCTTTATCTTTTTATTACATTTAACATTATAGCTCATGGAACTACCAACTAATTAGAAAGAAATAACCATTTTCTCTATATGGGTGTTGTACATGTAGAAATGTTTAACTGAAACCTGGCAATGAAATGTTACAAAGAAGCTCTGAAGCCTGTTTTCACATATATCATTACTTCCTTATATAAATATGTCGCCTAGATAAATAAAATGCTTCGAAGTCAAGTGGTTAATTTTAGAATGGGCACATTTCCTTGTGGAACAGGTTAGACTGTAAGCCTTCAGGAAGACATGCTCCCTGCCCTGGTGTACCTGCCAGCTCACTGAATGCAGCACGATTTTTACAACTGCTTCAAGGCAAGAAGTTCAAAGTCCGCAGTAAAACAAAGTTGAAGTAAAACACTTCACATGAGGGGAATTTGATGGTAAGCTGAAAGAACTTAATGTTAGAAATATCTAAATTATACATTACAAGCATCATAAACAATTGTGTCTCATAGACAGTTTCAAACTCCTAATCACTATTTACAGCACTCATTTAGCATCTACACAGCTTTTCTATTGTAACAGATTTTGTGGCCTAACAGCCTTAAATCAAGACACATTAAATCAGAAGTTAATTTACCTTTATTTATACATTGTAACAGACAGCCTCCAAGTGAAACACAACTGTTCAAACATTCGAAAAAGTAATTACACCCCTTAGCAATAATAATTGTAAATCAGCTCTGGTGTGACCAAATGCCTTCCATATCACACAACAAGCTAATTAGCCTCCACCTGTGTTCAGCTGTAGCGATTCAGATTATTTATGAATACATATAATATATACATTAGTATAATGATAACCATTATATATGATTTCAGATGTTCCTGAATGTCACCTCTGCTCTGTACTACATCACAATGTAGAAAGTCAACTATGGGCAACAAGGAGCTATCAAAAGACCTCCCTTGGAATATAGTCAAAATTTTCATTAATAAGTGGAAGAGATACAACATCAACAGGACCTTGCCTAGATCAGGTTATCTCTCTTTCCAAAATGGATGACCGAGCAAGGAGGGGACTGATTAGACAGACCATCAAAAATCCAATGGCAACTTTGAATGACTTGCACGCCTTTATGTCAAAGACTGGTCAGTGCGTACATATCACAAAAATATCCAAAGCTCTCCACAAATCTGTATAAATGGTGGCACAAGGAAAAGCACTTCTCCAAAAAGCCCACATTGAGACTCATTTGCGGTATGCAAAACAACACTAAGAACTTAGAGATTCTGGAGCCATGTGGGAAAAAATATTTGTAGTCTGATAAAACCAAGATGAAACGTTTTGGCCTAAAAGCAAACAATATACAGTAGCACATCACACACAGAGCACCATCCCTGCTGTAAAGCATGGTGGAAGGTGTTATGGGGGTGTTTCCGTGTAGCAGGGCCTGGGGCACTGGTCAGGACTGAAAAGAAACTGGATGGAGCAATATACAGAAGGATTCTTGGAAACAACCTGCTGCCCTCTGCAAGGAAGCTGAAATTGGGAAAGGAGTTTACTTTTCAACATGACATTTACCCTATGGACACAGCAAAAACAACAGTGGAGTTGCTAAAGAGTAAGGTAAATGTCCTAGAGTGGCAACTATTTTTTAATCGAATTGAAAATCTGTGGAATGCCTTGATGGCAGCAGTCCATCAACAGTTCCTTTGCAATGTGACTTAGCTTGAACAGTTTTGTAAGGAGAAATGGACTAACATTGCCAAATCTAGGTGTGGTTTACTACTATAGAGCTATCCAAACAGAATTATGGCTGTAATTCAAGCAAATGTGCTTCCATCAAGTACTAATTCAGGTGTGTGTACACTTACCAAACCAATTTCTTTAATTTGTCATTTGTAATTACTTTTCTGAATGTTTGAACAATCATTTTTCACTTGGAGGTGTCACAATGTGTAAATAAAGATAAAATAAATTCTGATTTAACATGGCTTGGTTTTAGGCTTTTAGGCCACAAAATGTGCGATTACAGAATGGGTGTGTAGATGTTCTGTAGGTAGTGTAAATTTTAACAGATTCTTAATGTCTTGATCCACATTTCTGGATATGCGCCTTACCTAGACAGAGAGAAATGGCCTTTTTTCTTCTTCAGATTTTGCCAGAGAAAAAAATCTGGAATTGTGTGTATTAAATCAAGAAATCATAAATAAAAAATTGTGTGTATTAAATCGGTGTTAAAATTTCTATTGTAATTAGTTGCAAATCTTTTTCCAAGTTTTAAAAATTAAATGTGCCAGTAAGCCAGATATACATAATATTTCTGTGATTCAGGGCAAATATGAAGTAAAGAATACCATATAAAAAAACAAAAACTCCAAACATAACATCAGTCCTTTCTTTATGGTATCACTAACCAGAGTTCTTGCCATTTTAGTGTTGTATAACACAAATGAAAGCCAATGGAAGCCAGTGCATAAAACACAATTTGAATGACTGCCTCTGTTAAGGCTTGTGAGTAAGAAAGAGAACGAGACATTTACATACCGAATCCTTGA